TTCCCTGCGTCCATTCATGATAAAAATTGGACTGCCAAAATTGTGTACGGCGTGGTCTATCTATGTGTATTTAATCTATGTCTAGTATCACAGACTATATGAAAACAGATAGTTCACTTAGCCGAGAACAATAGAAAAAAAAATCAAGCTCTTTGATTGGGCAGAAGATAAAGCAGTGATGACTGTTGCACAATTTCATATTATTGTGCAAATATTTTACAATAATATTGTACAATTCCTCTATCAGTTACAAAAATTATCAATGATATTTTAAATACTAGAACAATAATTAATTATAACTGTTCGTATACTTATTTTTTTTAATAACGTTTAGTCTTAATAAAAATGTGTTTTGTTAAATATTGTCTGACATTATGAATATTGTGTTTAATTTGTATGAAAGTTAAAATTTTGTATAGTTTATTATTTCATAAATTTTTTGTCAACGTTTAGTTAGACTTATCTATAATATATGAAGCTGTAATTTTTGGTAAGTACACTTGGTATCATTATGATGTACAATCTAAATTAAATTTTTACTTTTTTAGGATGTACTTGCTGTTATTTATTTATCAATCAAGTCAAATACACATCATTTATTTGTTCTCTATAGGAAATTGTAAAAGTTCAAATAAGGTATTGTATAATAATTTGAACAACAAATATTATTTATTTAAATTAATATTTTGTTGAATATAAAAATATATTAGTAATAAATTCATAATTAATAAAAAATATATATTGGTAAAAATAATACAACAATACAAAATATAAAAAATTATGTTCACAAAATTAGTATGACTAAGTATCTCTGAATTTTCCAACAAAACAGTCCTCAATGTAAAAAAAAAACCATTCCGTACACCTAGGAAAATAGTTTAATTTTAAATTTAATAATAATAAAAATTTATAGTTAAAAAAATGTATGTGTTGATGAAAAAAAGTTAATTTATAAATGCTGGAGAATTGCTAATTTTCTATTTTTAAGTTTTTTTTCAGATACTAAGTTTCTATTTAGAAATTTTATTGTAGAATAAATCCTGAAACGAATAAAAAATTTTATAAGATGATCATTGTCAAAATTAGTACATGGATGTTCATAGATAATATTTAGCATTTGTAATTTAAGTTTACCACCAACTCCTTTTTCAACAGATAAAATAGGAAAACTTTCTATAAAAATGGTTTCTAATTTATACAAGTTATTATAAAAATCTTCATGAGGCATTTGTAAATTTCTGAATAATGATTTTTGTTGGTTTTCATAAGCTTTAAGTAACATAATAAAAATGAATTATCTAATTTATTTTGAGTTTTAACATATTCTACACATATTTCACAAGAATGTTGAATTAAACATTTTTTCATAATATAACCGCAAACTTAAATGAATGAATTCTGATCTGGAATTTCTAAATCTCTATGATCAACTGGTCCAATGGAAAAGGCTGTTGGTTTCTTAAATTGAAAAGGAGAATTATTTGAAAAAATTTTGTTAACATCTAAATCTGTTTGAATTGGAATTTGAGTTAATATTTCATCTAAATCTCACAAATACAATTAGCATTTTCTGAATGTTGAAAGTAATTAAGTAAAAATATTTTTTTAAAGGCATATAAAAACTGATAAGGTGTTGGATTTGTATTGTTTCCATTTTGCTGTCGAAAAGTACAAAATAAGTTTTCAAGGCAATCTTGGTTTATTCTTCCAGTGTAAAGCACGTAGGTTTCTTGTTGAACTGTTGATTTGGACAATTTTAAACCTTTCCATAGTAAGACCAAGCCAGATATGGAGACTAACCAACCTTTTATAAATTTCATACTATTTGTAACATCATTACCACTTTTTTTATCAATTACTTTTAAATTAGAAAAAAAATTAAACTTTCATTTTTTCAAATGGACCAGGAAAAATATGAGCATGAGTTAATTTAGGGGCCATTTTTAAGTTACACTTAGAATTTTGTTCATAAAAAGAAATTAAATGATTTTTTTCTATTAAACTATTATTGTATGAAAAATTATGCAAAAAAACATATTTCTTGTTGATTTTAGTAAATGTGGGGGGTCAAAACTATAAATAATTTTTTTTTCACTAACATAAAAAAAAAGTACGGACTGGAGTTACATTAACTGTATTACTAAAACTAACAAAATTAGAACCCATATCTGTAACAAAGGCTTTGACATTTAATCCAAATTGAAAAAGTTTTTGAATTATGGTAAAAATAATATCTTGTAGTTCAAATCCCGTACAACTACTTGATACCATGTAATAAGCTATTGGCTGTTTCCAATCAAAATTAATGCCTCTTATCATTAGAACAAAAGAGTATTTTACAGGAGAATAAGTTTTAATTTTGTTAGATTCATGAAATCCAATAATTTCATCTTTTTGTAACATATAATATAAATTAGATTTTAAAGCCATCTCATCAGCACATAAAATACATTCTTTAGCTGCATCAGTAAAATGATTAATTTTGTAAGAATCACTTGATGATGCAGGAGATTCATAACCACTTTGATCAATCGATACACTCTCTGATTGGGAAGTCGAAGGTCCAGAAGTTGAACAACGTTCTATGATTTCCTGCTGTCTTTGAAAAATGATGTTATCTAAAATTAAATAATAAATTGTTATGAATAATACTAAAACTGTTAATAGTATTATATTTTTTATAAAATTTGAATTATTTTAGATATAATAAATTTTACAATTTTAATTTTTAATTATTATTATTATTGTTATGATAAGTCATTTGTTGAAAAGAACCCCTGGATTGTTTTCAGTGAATCAAGTTTATTGTTTAACAATTATTTTATATAATATAATAAACACATAAAATAAAAAATTATTTCCATTTTTCTTTATTTTCTGAAATTATAATTTTAGATCTTAAATTTAAAACAAACTGAGAAAAAAATTAATTTTAAAAGTAAACTACTAATTAATATTTAATAATTAAACTACACTGAATAATTATTTTACAAATAATTAAAAAAAAAAAAATACTGACCACTAAATATTGTAGGTACAGTATCGTGTACCAGCCGATTTTTTGTAGATTTTTTTTCAAAAACATTTTATCCTCAAAATGATCCGCGCAAACTACAAGATTATTTTTTTTGGATAAAGTCTCTGCCAAATGATTAGTTTCACAATTATTCATCCATAGTTTTAAACGATCGTTTTCTATAGGATAAGAAAAAAAGCTTTTATCCTTGAAAGAATATGTACTTGGACAAAACTTCACTGAGCATCGCATACTGGTGAGGTAGTGAGATATTTTGAAAGAAAGCACCAAATATAACACGAAATAAGATACATGTGATCATTGACAATATTAACAATAATAATTGTTACTGCTCAAGTCAAGTCAAATTTAAGTAGTTAATAATTTACATTATAAAAACTGATAATTATTTAATTTTCATGACTAATTTAGGGATTTTGAGTCATAAATAAGGGATTATGGGTTTAATACCTTAATTTAATGATGTATTCAAATAATTTATGTCAATAATTATGTTTATATACGGAATTTCATAATATTTATGCTACAGCAGATTTAATAATGAAATAAATTAAAAGAATTTTTGCGCTCATACATATGGTTGCACTGATTTCACTTCTCCAATCAAAAAACCGTTTTGTTATCGGGCCAAGTGAACTATCTGTTTTCATATAGTCTGTGGTGTTATCGTCAACTCTAATGAGTACGACAGTAGAAAGCTGATAATGACGACCAGACAACGTGCTAATTCACTGTAAATGAATAGTATCAGTGGTAGCTCGTGGGCAGTGTAGCCAGATAGAGGGAAAATATGGGACCGTAATCAATTGGAGGGAAAAAGGGAAGAAATTTTAAAATTGTACTAAAAAAGGGAAACTTAGGAATTTCAGTTAATAATCGATATTTTTACTTTTATAACAAAAATTATTTAAAAGTATACATGTTATTTTTTCACAAAAAAATGATCAATTTTTATTTTTGCTTAGATAAATTAATTTTTATGTTAACAAATCCTATTGATAATACTATCTAAGAATATCACAATCGGTCCTTGGATCCTATCTACAACCGTTGAAACAATTATGAACATTAGGAATAAATCGATTTTACCTATCAATGTTGCAGTACCTGATATGATCACTATTGTTTATCAGCAAAAAAAAACTTATTAATGTTTTATTCTTAAGTCACAACTAGTTTTAACTTTTAAGTTATAAGTTATTATTATTTTTATAGATGTTTTATACTTAACATTTTCCATTATTTTAACCATGGATAATTTTGAAGAAAATGATGTATTAAATAGTACTCCACCAAAAAAAAAAAATTAAAGGACCAAAATGTTTTAATAAATAATAATTGGCTTAATTGCTCTGAATTTAAGGGAGGGTTGGAATGTATTCTTAAAAATATTTTCAAAGCTCGTTGTTCTGCTTGCCAGGTAAATAAAAACAATAATATTCCTTATTTTATATAATTAAGAGGAGTGAGGACTGTAGTCTTCAATCTAACTATTTTTAAATTTTTATGACTTTGAATATTTACATTCAAAGAGGCTACAATGGTATAATATGCAAAAAGTAGCGATTTATTTGAAAAATGTATTTTGAAACAATATGTTTATGAATTCTATAACATATTTTGTTTTTAAATATTATTAATTATGGGAATAAAAATTGATAAAACCAATATTATTTAAGGATTTCATATTATAATGGTCAACTTACAATAGTCAATATATAAGAAATAAAAGAAAATTGAATTTACATTTATTTGAAATAAAAAATTTAAGGAGGTAATTTTTTTTAAAAACCGGGAAATTTTACAAGTTTGAGAGGGAATTAAGCTTTTTTTGGTCTGGCAAAACTGCTCGTGGGTGCCGGTTGTGGGGGTGCGACTTTTAATATAATACCGCTAGTTATGGGTATAAAAAATTGTCAAATTAATCATAATAAAATAAAACACAATACACATATTATTATTTTAAAGGTCGCAGTAAAAAATAGAAATGAAAATAATAATAATAATTGCGATTTTACTATTATAGCAAACGAATAACGACGATCGTACACGTAGTTAATTCTAAAAATAAATTATCCAATATAGCAATATACTAATATTTTACTGTATGGACAACGCTACCTCTCATAAAAAACCCGTACATAAGATTGCAGCTTAAGACCGCACGTACACGATTGGGCGCATCGTTTACAATATGCGTTTCAATATATTATTCGGACGATGCTGTAGGTCGTACAAACACTGCTTCTGTGTGCACGCGAAACTGCATATACTGAGGCAAACAGCTCTAATGTCCGCACACGACAAATGTATTATAACTATTTTACTATTTAAAAATTTGCATTTTTTATAAAAATGTAGAATTAAGAATATGCAAATAATTTTCTTCTTGTAATAAATTTTTGTAGAGGGAGCGATCGTCCCGTCGTCCAAGCCACGAGCCGCCACTGAATAGTACGCTATTACGGACCGTTTCATGGCTAAATGGAATTTTTTAACAAGAAATTTTTATAAGTATTGTAATGAGGTACAGTTTAGATTAAAACAGTGTAAATTAAAGTATTATTGTAAATGTATTATTGTATAATATGCGACAACATCATATGGGATTTTTACGTTCGTTGTGTGTGGTGGAGACGCTGGAGAAATGTAGCCATGCGTAAGTAAATGATGAGAAGATGTAATGATACAGTTGGTTATGTTCCTTTTAAAAAAAGATGATGGTTGTGTTATATTTTTTTCAATAAACACATTTTTCTCCATCTCTCTAATATAAATTCACAAGTAACAATATGAACTTCATGATGAATTAAATGGAAATATTAATAAACTATGTTTGAGAGAACAGCTAACAAATACGCACGAATATCAATTATATTTGAACTCCTAATCAAGAAACACGGCATCACCGATACGACTGAATTAAGGTCAGAAATTAAACTACTACTAATCATACGCAATTCGTACATATACATATATAGCACATATTAATGAATATGTTAATTTTTTTATAAATGAATATTTGTATAAATTTTATTATTGCTTAACGCAGAAACTAAAATTTACTTCTAATGTTAACAAATTGTAATTAAACCATTTTTTTTATATTTGTAAAATAAAAAAGAAAAACCCAGCACAGGGGGGTCGCGGCACAGTGGTGACGTGGCATAGTCGGGTCAAGTATAATGATATCTGACAGTGATTAAAATTACTATCATAAAAAACGCTTCGATGCAAATCTTTAGACAGTGTTTAGTTTTTAAAAATTGGTGATTATTCCAAAAGCTACATGATCTGCTATTTTCTTATTTATATCCTGATTAAGATAAAGTATGTCGAATAAAAGAATGATATAAATATTATTTCTCATAAAAAAATTCTATTGATGTAAAATGTAAAAATAAAATCGAGTTTTTCACACAAATATAGCATTCGGTAGCCATTTACACCATGAAGACAAAATAAAAATTTTTTTTTTTTCATAATATAGTATATTATATTAGCTTTAATTTAAGATATATATAAAAGTGTTAGACTTTCCGGAACACTTTCAAATATAAATTTGAAAAAGTTAATTTTTTGTGAAAAAGTTGTCATTTTAAATCTTCCCCTGTGGGCAGGTAAAGGGTCAGATTTATAAGAAAAATATACCCAATGAAAGGCTAAGACATCATAGTAAAACCAATACCTTCTCAGCTTCTCATCAAAGCTAAAAAATACCATTTCAGTATTTATCATTTATTCAAGTAAAATTAACACATTTATATTATAATTATGGTTGATTTAATTATAACATAATAATGTTACAATACTATTAACATAGTGGCTTACATGTTTTACAAAACTAAATAGATTGTAATGTTGCAAAGATGTTTGACATTCGTATTAGGTTTTTCTTAAGGCTTTAATATGACTTTTAGGATTATATACAGTTTTTTTTCTTGTAAAAATATAGTGGCTCAAATGATATTATAGTAAATTAAAAAAAAATTATACTTCTTTTACAAATGTAATGATCAGCGTTTAATGAATTATTTTAATTATATAAGGATGTCAAAGTTATTTCAACGTCTTACCATAATTCATTTGTTCAAAACCATTTATGTTTAAATTAGCAATGCATTTATGGAATGCATTTTGTGCTTGTGGTAAATTTTTGGATGACAAATAATTAATAACTTGATCAATTTTTATATCAGCTGATGTTGACAATATTAGTCCCTAAAAAAATAACATATTCAATCTTCAGAGTGTTATAGTAATTTGGAATTGCTAAACGAATAAAAAAGTGCTGTTTTCAACAATTGTAATTACTTGATATATATTTTAAAATTATATTTCATAAAGCAAAAAAGGTGTATAATAATATATTTTATTGGTTAATTTTTACTTACAGAAAACATGGAATCATCTAAAACCAAATATGTGTAAAAAGCAGCACAACAATACTCTGCAAAAGGAATTTCGTCAGATCCAAAAATGAAGAATTTTATACCACGAACAACTCCATCTAGAGGAATTTTACCAGAAATAATTTTAATTATATCTCCGACTATACATTTTCGTACATCGTTTCGGTCGTCTTCGTTTAAATCTCCTTCGTACACATCTAAAGCATAGTAAAACTATTTGCCCATTTATTTTTAATTGTATAGACAGTGTATAAGGTTCAATTACTCATTTCTGACGTATCATGTCCATCAAGAGAATACATTTTTATGCAAGCTCGCAGAATTTTATATGTTTTTTATATGTTTTCAAATCGCCCGTTACCTTAAAATAAAGATGTTTTTATAATTAAAAAGATATATTAAAAAAACTTGTATTATGTAAATATTTATATCATAGTTTAATTAACGTTTAGTTATAAGACGAGNAGGGGGGGTACCGTATTACACTGTATAGAGCACAAAAATCCTTTCAGAGCGGCATTCGATTTCATCGTATTGACGCGACTTACGTCGCAAAAATGTAGTCGACGCTGGTTTTGAGGGTAGGACACGTGGGCCGTTTATTAATGAGCAACAACGGGTTAACTTTAAAGAAAGACAAATAAACCGAAAAGACGAATACAGTAATAATAATCTTCGCTTAATATCGCGGCACTTTCGCTGACGTCCACAACTCGGTGTCCAGCGTGATCCTCGGCGTCAAAAAGTTAGCAGCTATAATGGCGACGGTGCGCGGGTGCGGATCGGTTCGTNGTCAAAAAGTTAGCAGCTATAAAGGCGACGGTGCACTGGTGCGGATCGGTTGGTCGAGTCCGGTCGTGCGGCACGTCCGGAACCGGGGCGAACATCCTCGACGTTGTCACGCTGACAACGGGAAGAAGGCTCAACGTATCATTTGCGGCGGGTCGTCGTCGGCTGTGCTGCATTTGCTGGACTTTGCACCGTGGCGTATGGCACGCGGTGTTGGTCAGTCAAATACTCATAGTAGGGCGACGGCTGATAAAGGTGGCACGAGTCGCGGGGGATCGCGTATAACGAAGCGACGCGGGGCCGTGTCAGTATATACTAAATGAACAATTGTCAGCCACAAACCTGTGTTGTTGTCGGCTACCTTTTTTACGCGTGTGATTTATATACGAAAAGAATTTGTTTTAATTATTTATCTTGTGACGAAATGCAAATCCAATATCTCTAATTATATAAACATATTGAAATATTTATCAAATCATCTCACAGCAATTTGCAAAAAAAAAAAAAGCAAGTAAATTTATGGTATCCCAATTATTTGGAGTTAATAAGTTTGAGTAAAGGATGACAAAGCAATAGATCATTTATTAAATCAATATCTTTAAGTGTTAATTTTGACTGGTTGGTTAAAATATTATACATTAGAACATTATATGGTATTCGTGAACTGGCTCCGCCGTTTCGTTGCCACTTAGTTAGGACATTAGAAAGACAAAAGTTTATTACACCTCAATTTCTAATGTACTGCGTTTATTATTTTTATATCTACTTGTCTTTGTCGTTCTAAACCCTCGAACCATATGACGCCGATAGAACCACAACCTGATGTTCTCACCATATACAAGACCTACTTCTAATTTAATTATTTTTATTTTATTAATTTTTGTTATTTGAATTATAACAATAGAAAATAGTATAAAGTATAAATTTAATTTCTTGTCAATTCGCAAGACATTGAATTTCTAAAATGTAATTTATTTTTTATTAAATTGTTAGAATAATCTAAAAACCTTTGAGATATTATTAATATCAGCATTTCGTTATTTTGTACCTTGGGATATTCTACTGCAAATAAACTTGAGTGGAAAATTATACAACAATATTCAAAATTTTCTGTAATAATAGATTTATCTAATTTTAAAAATTCAATTATTTTTTGACTCATTTCTTTTAGATGAATTTCACGAGAAATTATATCATCTCCCAGACTACTTAAAAATTGATTGAATTCTTCTGTAAAATTACAAATTAATGACGATAAATTAATTATACATCTGAATAACTCATTCAAAAATTAATACTATTTAAAATAAATAGTTGCAACATTAAAATACAAATAATTAAATAAAATTTAAAGTGATGCTAATTGGATAGACTTTATTCTCATTCATTTTTATTTTGGTTAAGATTTTATTTTGTATTTGTATTAGGATTTTCTTAAGGTTTTAAAATGATTTTTAGGATTATTAATAATTTTTTTCTTGTAAAAATATAGTGGCTCAAATGATATTATAGTAAATTAAAAAAAAATTATACTTCTTTTACAAATGTAATGATCAGCGTTTAATGAATTATTTTAATTATATAAGGATGTCAAAGTTATTTCAACGTCTTACCATAATTCATTTGTTCAAAACCATTTATGTTTAAATTAGCAATGCATTTATGGAATGCATTTTGTGCTTGTGGTAAATTTTTGGATGACAAATAATTAATAACTTGATCAATTTTTATATCAGCTGATGTTGACAATATTAGTCCCTAAAAAAAAATTAGTTTTACTACTACGTGTACATGNATTAGTTTTAGCTACTGGTTTTAAAATTCACTTTACACAGAACTTTTAAAAAGTTCCACGGTAATTAAATGGATTTCCAATAATAGTATATCGAGAGAAAGTTAATCATCTATATTATTATGATACGTTAGATACACAGAGCCCTACGACCTGTGTCGCATTTGTCAGCGATCGCTCTACTACGTGTACACGGTAATTGGACTGACCAACACAGCCTGCCATACGTTAAGGTACAAAGTCCAGTAAGTGACGCTGGCCCGACGACGACCCGTCGCAAATATTGGTCGAGTCTACTTCAGGTCGTCGATGATTTACGTCACTGGCTCTGGACGTGTTGCGCAACCTGACAAGATGAACCGATACCGCAACTTTTTTTGAACATTATTATTATTTCATCATTCGTATAGATTTAATACTAATAACAATAATCTATTGTTATTAGACGAGGAAGTAAATATTTTAATGTTGCAGAATTTGACTAGTTTTTTTTATAAATCTTATTAATTAGAGGTGTGTGCAGTAGGTGTAAAGTATTTTAATAATTGTGTATGTGATAACCTCCACTAGTCAACCGGTCCGATATCTGTCATCCTATCGTCATCAGCTGACCGTACACTGTGCACCTATACCCATATTGTTGTATTTCCCCCCAATGGACGTGTCAAAGTTGGCACCACCACCACCACCCGGCGTGACAATCACCGGCCAATATACAAATGCCGCGACAACAGATTATTTTTTCTCAGCTATACTACCGAGGCGACAAGTCGTGTTTTCTATATAATTTTTATTGTGAAAACCACGTTTTTTTTGTCCTCCGTTTTTTTATTAAAATAAACGTCGAGTCGACCTGCCGTCTACTTGTGGTGTCAACCAGGCTGTAGTTTATTTTTTTTGTCCTCCGTTTTTTTTTTTAAATAAAACGTTGAGATACCAATGATGAAGATGATGTGAGGCACAACTATGGCCGGTGGTGGGTCGTCACTCCTCAAAACAACAACGACAAGTATCAACATGAAACCCCCTTTTACCCCATATTTAATTTTGTGTAACTGGCACCTCTCTTTTTCTTTTTCTTTATTTTTTTTCCTTTATGAATAACGATATTTATAAATCTTTAATAATTAAATCATTAAAAAAATGTTATTATATTATACATGGCCTCTTTTTTTTCTCTCTCTATACTTTTCCCTCATTTTTATTAATATTTGTTTTTTTTTTTTTATCAAAACCTAGTAGCTCCGTCAACAAGTACTATCTTGCTTGGCGCGGCTACTAGGTCACTGTCCAGTGTTCCCCCTGGGCAGTGGGTAATTAGTAGGCTCTCTGTTTTGGCTGAAACCTTACAATATTTATAAACATTTTGTAGAATTGTTGTATTATTAGACTAAAAAAAAAAAACAAAACGTTTAGTATACGATGGAATGGATTGAATTGTCGGGGAGAGTACCCCGGGAGCACTGTGGATAATCTCATTTTTATGTAGTAAGATTTTGTTGAAATAATTCTGACAATAAGTCTTTATCGTCGTGTATTACTTTATTGTACTTTTAGTGTGTTCAAGTTTTATATGATTTATCTCGTTTTGATTATTACGATTATTCTATTATTATGATTATTATTCTAAGTAAAGGTTTGCGGATCGTGTGTCGTGCGCCCGATTTCCAACAAGCGGTTGTACGTTTCTTAGTGCCTAAGTGTATTGTTCCTGCTGAGTAGTCTCAGGCGACTTTCTGATCAGTCAGAAAATCATGGGCGAGTAATACGTCGCAATACAGGTCGTCTAAAATAACCGCTAAAAAAAGCACTTCTAAATCCGCAATTTTAGCGGTAAACGTGGCGGTACCATTCGTCGTGGCGGTGTGTCCGTCCGCTAGTCTAACACGTCGGTGTGTCCTTTTTAAACAGTTCCGTATTTATAAGCAATTATCGGTTTTACATACGATTTATGCGCTTGTGAGTCGAGTAAAGCTGTGACGAAGCCATTTTGGAATTCTAACTCGACTGCTGGAGTAGTAATTCTACGCGGGCATTTTCATTACTCGGGTGGTTTACGGTTCGAACGAGGGGCAGCTGGTTCTTAACCGCGACGCCGGTTTGCCCACTGACAGTGTTAACTGCCATTAGTGGATTAGCCGGGTCGACTGACACCCCCTCCCCCACTGTGCCCGAAAAAGTGCCAAGATCGTTGGCGGTATGTAACTCGTAAGGGCTGTTAGATTCGGTGTTTTGCGTGACGGTCGTGATGCGTGATATGTTGTTACCGGATAAAAATTACGTAGGGCGCGTTTTAACTGAAACGTCGTTTAAAACGCTGCGCCCTGTTTGGATCTGTTGTATGCTTGGGGGGGCGGGGACGGACTAATTCCCTCCTAGCCGATTGCCGTTTCCCGATACCGACGGTCTATTTGGGCATTGGCGATGCCAGTGTCACTCGCTGCAATATCGGCACGGGGATGGCGGTGCGTCCGCGTTTGCATAACCCGCTCGCTGTCGGGCCGCTGGTTGAGCATTATGCCGCGGAGGCAGTTCGGCTGGCTGTAGGGTCGTTGGCGGAGCGTACCGAGGAGCCGCGGTCTTATCTACGTTGTGCGCTATCTCATGTAGATCGGC